TTGACTGTGTGTTGCTTAGTTATGGGCAGTATGCCTTGGGGATGAAAGCAATTAAAATCTTGAACCTTTGCCATGATGGGGGCTGGCTCTGCTTTCATCTTATTGTTTATTGGCAAAAATGAGGAGTGGCTGTTTTGGACTGTCCTAGTTGGGAAAACAATTACTGCTGCTTAGATCAGGGTTTGCCCTCAAAAAGACAATCTTGACGCCAAAGCATGTGGTAACTCAATTAGGCATCTGCGCTCCGACTTTAATTAGTGTCATTTCGGAGAGCTTAATGGCGAACGTAACATGATAAAGAAATTCGGTTTTGCGCTGCCTTGCACTTGTATATGGTCTATGGTGTGATGAGTGCTGGTTAGTGAGCAGCAGAATACATTCATTGCGAGGATGTATGGAGCTGTGTATTAAATGCAGCGATGCAGCGATGCAGCACAGCCCTGGAGACTGATCCCATCTGGTCGGGGCCTGCTTGTTTAGCCAGAAACTCATCAAAATTTGGTCCCCAAGGTTTATGCAACCCCCCTCTCTCTCTCTTTGACTCCATTTGTTACCTCTTTGTCTTATTGCTGAGAGGGTGGGGAGCCAGGGGCAAGAGCTCAACCCTAGAAAGGAGGAGTGGGGGGTTGATGGACCCCGAGCTTTAATGGAGACAGTATCCATGAAATGACCCAGTGGAAGTGACGCTTCCTGGGCATGTTTTACGCTTGCGTGAGCATATGGCTGGGGTTGGGTGCAGGGTGGGGAGCTCTAGCAATGAGGGAGGGAGTGTGGAATGAGACTAGCCGGGATGCTACTGTATGTTTTGTTTAGTCTCTCATCCATGTGCTACTGAAATAGAGAGCTGAGACATCAGTGGGAGTTGGATCTTCTTACTGTGTTTTGGAGGATCACCCTGGGCAATAGCACGTAAGTCAGGCTTACTGCTTACTTCTTGGCTGCTGTATTCAATGGAAAAGTTGTGAGTGATTTGCTTTAGGGAGAAATTCTGGTGAAGTTGTTTTGACCATATCCAGTCTGTCCTGCTGCTGAAGGAAAGGTGTTTCCTTAGACTTTCTTCCCTGTATAATGTAGATTTGGACGACTTACATTACATATAGATTCCAGGATTCCTTTGTTCAGTGCAAAATGACTTTGCACTTGCTAATGGCTGAGTACCAAGGTGAAGCATAATCTTGTAACATGAGGATGTATCTTACAAATGTCTGCATGGCCCCTGAGAGAAATCCAGTTTCTTTTTTTCCCCCTTCAAAGTTTATGTAACATCATATTTCACAGCCTATTTTGTTCCAACTTCTTATCTTCTCCTTCAGGAGGGCTTTTCTGGCCCTTTTCAGGTCTTTTTCCAATTAATACAGCTTGATGTGCCAACCGCCACCAAGAGAACTGCCTCAGGCAGTAAATGGCCTTATTTAGTGTGGATGAATATTCATTTGTTTTGAATAATTATTTTGACAGTGCTGTTACTTGATAAGGGAATATATTTGCAGTATTAATGCAAGATATTTCCCGGAAGTAGTTTTGCTAGGATTAAACCAAGAACATCAACATCTTGATTGTCATTTATACAAATACATAAACATAAAATATAATTCTTATTGTCAGCTTCCCAACGTCTTGACTGGATTAAATTGCGGCTTTGAGTCCAATTTTATCAAATTGCTATGATGGAACAGTCATTTTCTCTATGTATGACAAAGCAGATGTCAAATATTTGGAAGTAAACAGTGCATCATATTTGTTTAGATAGCTGGAAGTTAAATTGTTATTTTGCTGATTTTCCGGACTGAAAGCCACAGAAACTTTGTGTGTGTGTGGGTGTGCTAGACTGGATGGAGGATCAGGTTGGGTTTCCAGCGGGTGAGGTGGGGACAGTTGCTAAAACCGCAGCCCAGACAAGTTTTCTTTTGTGGAATGGCTAAAACAGAGGAAGACATTTTTCCATTTCATGTTTTATACTTCAGAGTTTGGATTGATCCTACTGGAGTAGCACCGGCCTCAAATGTCAGTGTGACTCCACGATCCATGCAAATGTCATGAGTTTGATGGCATTTTATTGCAGCTAAATGAATCACAACGTGAAAGTAATTATTTCACAGACAATTTATGGATGCATAGCACCGTGTGGCCTTGGGGCAGCAGCAGTTACACTTTCTTATAGATTTTCTTGCTGTTGTGAATGTTGTGAGCAGTGGCATGCATCTGAGGAGGCATGAGAGAATAATGTGACATTGCTAGTCTGTTTGTTTTACATGGGAAACTGATTTGTGCAGTGCTGTTTACAAATCCATTAGTGTGTTGGTAATGTGCGCAGAACGAGCCAAGCAAAGGAGTCACCCTGGAAGTCATGCTTAATTTGTCCATTGTCTCTCCTTTCTTGTCAGCCTAAGAGTTTAGTGGTGGTCACTGGGAGCCGTGTGACCCCTCTCAGGTCCGGCTAACAATGTCTTTACACATTTCTTTTCCTTACAAAATGCAGCAGACTTTAGATTGGCATGGGATGTTGGAAGGAACTGGAGAGTGACAGACAGCAGTAGGCTTGACTGAGAAACAAACAAGCTGTGAAGAGAGAGCTGAAGGTTTGCCAATGAAAAGATTAGAGTGGCATCTGGCTCAAGTGCCAAGATTCATCGTTGCTTTTGCCACACTGTCATGGCAACGGAAGCTTTATGCTTTCCTCCCAGTCCCCCCACTGAGTGTCCAGACTGTACCAACAAGACTTTTAAAGAGCTTGTGATTATTCTCATGATGGACCCTAACATTTACCTAGTTAGTCATGTACAGCATAAACGACGTTCTCTTGAATTGAGATGTGAAAAAAGAAAAGGACATATCAGCTTTGATGACTCACTCATTTCCATGACTTTATTTTCTTTTGAATGACATGCAAATGAGTGAGCTGCATAAAAGTCCATTATAAATGTGCACGTAACCTCAGCTGAGCATCTCTACAGGCCCATCCATCCCAGTGCTCCCATTTGTCATGCGGGGCACCTCTGTTCCCTGGTGGCCAATCAGGAGTGCCTCCTTGGTGGATAAAAGTCCCCCCCCTCACCACCTCATCATCAGATGTGATTGACAGCCTCCCACAGGAAAGAGGGGGGTTATTTACCTCCTTATGTTCTCATGGGACTAAGTTAATGATCCCAGCCAACAAAATAATACAAAGAGGGAAAAGCCTGAGAAGTCGGCGCCTGGTTGAACCATTTGGAGCAGTTTTGGCTTCCTTAAGAGAGGATTAGAGAAGAAGAAGCTGTGTGAAGAGAATTTCAGAGATAGCGGTGAGGCAGACGAAGCAGCAGAGCCCAGACAGAGAGTAGGAGCTAAAGGGAGGCTTCTGAGGAAAGCCGGTGTTTTCAGAAAAATCTCTTCCTGGGCTTTATTTCTATATACATCTGTCACCCGGACTATGGACTGTCTGGTTGACTGACTAACAGACTGCGAGGTAAGGGATGATATGTATTTCCAGTGGGTGACACGTTAAAGCCTCCTTTAAGTCGCTCTTAGACTTTAAAGTTAGGGTTTGGAAAAGTTTTGGTGCACTAAAATAAACATGCTTTGCAGTATTCTGCATTCCTTTTATTTTTTGTCTGGATATTTGAAATTTATTAAATTATTGCTGGATTTACAGATTAGTGAAGATCACAACGAACAACAAAATTCTGAATTTCAGTAGTTTTCTCTGCAAATGAATCGGATTATTTTTTAGGCTTAATTGCTTGTGTTTCCACACTGAACATCATGTACTTACTGCTGTTATCATTGAATTTTGCACTGGGTCTCATGCAGTTACCAAGATGTTAATGTGTTTATGTTTCTTTTCAAGTCATTATCCGCCTCAACCTCAGAATCTAAATCCTTTCTATTGCTCTCACCTTTCTTTTCATACTTTGTTGAACGCTGCAGGGCTCCTGGCAGGAGCTCGGAGTTACTACTGATCGTAATCAATCTGTGCCTTATGTGCTATGGTTTTACCACATAACGTAAACATTTGCTTTACACAGAGATACCATTTCAAAAACACCGACTTGGTGTCACTGACAAGGTCATCTCAGGTAGCCTAACTACAAACCTCAGACCTCATAGATAAACAGTGAGCACGGTCTCAAATCCAGAACTCTATGTGATCAATCAGCATCACCATTTGGATGCCAACTGTGTCAGCCAGCACATGTTTGGGAACATTTTCCATGCAGCCAAAGAGTGGTGAACAGATGCCAACAATCTGAGACAACTTTCAACACTATCTAAGTCAGCTGTCGCAACCACAGTGCATTCCTGTGTGTTTCCATTTCAGTGAATGCCACATGGAAAAACAAAAAGAGTGCGACCGCTTTGAGGAATAACGTTGCTAGAACCTTTGATAAGAGGTAGCCTAACTCAAGTTGCCTACCCATCAACATCTGTGCTAACGGACATGCTAACTGCCTATAGATATTGTTGTTGTGTTGGCAAAACAATGGCTTGTCTGTGAATGCACCACCATTTATCCATGTTCGACTTTGCATTGGGCCACTGATAAAGCATCTCTCTTGTCCTTTGTGGGGAGTATAATCATCATTGATTCCTGTGTTTGCTTATGCACTATTTCATTTGGCTGTATTGAATCTTGCCTTAAGCGTGAAACACATTTCCAAATGCAATAATCTAGACAACATTTGTTGATGAGAAATGCAAAGCAGTTCAGACTTGCCTGAATATTGTTGAAATTTGTTGTGATTGTCATCTTACCAATTATGCAAATAGCGAGAGAGAATGTGTTTTTAATGCACTGATTGTTTTTGCGGTGTGCAGCCCAGCTCTTTGGAAGATGTCTGTTTGAGGATGACAAAAAAAGCTTTGTTGAGAGTAATGGGCAACACTCCATGCTCTGATAGCCCTGAGTGATAGACCAAACCAGCACAAGTCCTGCCCCTCACATATGATTGGCTAATGCAACAATTTGCAGCCCACTGTGTCTAGATGGGATAGGTACAGTTCTCAGTGAGAAGAGAGAAAAGGGTGGAAAGTTTCGATCCTCCTGCTGATTTTCATTGGGCTTAGAGAACAGGGTTAGAGGGTCAGAAACTCACGGAGAGTAGGAGAGACGAGCCACTTCTCTCAAAGTTCTGACCACTGCAGTGGAGTAACTGTGCAGAGCCCCAAATGTCAACACTGACTGACTTTAAAGGTGGCTCTTTCCTCTCTTGCCTGTTTATGGATGTAATCATGTGGCGGGTAAGTCAGAGGGTTATTCTTGATTTGGTCTGCATTTTATGTTACTGTGCCTCCATGTTCTGCTGCCAAAACATTGAGTCATCATATATTTCTGAGCCTCCAGGCAGCGCTCCGTGCAAGTTGTTTGGCCTTGTTGTGCTCACAGAATCCTTAATGTTTTCAGCTGTGGATAATACTTGAGGGATAAGATGACTAAGTGAGAGGGCCAAGGGGAGTTTTGTGATTAAAAAAAAGCGTCAGAGAGCATAGGAGTAGTTTTCCAGTATAAAAGCAGCTACTCAGTGTACGCTTTGGGCTCTGACTGAAAGAGGATAATATAATTTGTTAGAGCAAACACTGTAGTGGACCTTGCAGTACTATTCCTGAATGTACAATTACAATAGGCAATCCTTTCTATGGCTTCATCATAAAAGTTTTTTTTTAATTTTTTTTTACCTTTACTCAAACTTCAGAGATCCATTGCAGCAGTTTCGTTCATAATCCGGCAGCAGAATACTGTTTACCCCACTGATAAGATAAAAGATACAGACATTTCTCCCCTGCAACATACATATATGCTCTGGCAATACTCCTGGACACAGTTTGTGACAGGCCTACTTACATAAAAGCATATAGGTTTCTTGCTTACATGAAGGCAATGAAGAGTAAAACTGGGAAGGTTGCAGTTGGCTCTGTGGTTCCCCTTATTAATTAGTAACTTATCTTGTTCCTGTAAGGAGGAATGTTAGACATCTTCCCACCCGAGTGCGCTGCCTTTGATCACTTCTAGATATTAAGCTGTCACCATGGCAACATAATGTGGAGGTCTTTATAAAGAACCATTGCATCGGTTTTAGGGTAAGGTGAGATTAATTGGAAGACAGATTTGTGAATAATAATGGCTATTTTTTTTTTAATCACTGTTGTTGTTGTCATTTGTTTACTTGTAGAATTGGGAGGAATATCGAAAAAATATATAATTAGATTAAATTAAAGTCGCAACATTATTTGGATTATAGTTATTTTCTCAGTTAGGAAATGTCACAAATTAATTGTGGCATTTTTCATGGTGAGAAGGATCACCTCTTGGCATGGATAAACATGTATGCTGCATTTTACGAATCAGCCACACGGTGTCGCTCTTTGAATGTTTCCTCACAAATAAAAACACTTTTTGTTGTGTGACGTTTACAACTTGCATATCCTCACGAGGTACGGCAGATAAACGGGCAGAAAACTGGCTTGTATACTGTATGTAGACTTTATCCAGATGTGTGCCCCTCCTCGGCAGTTTGGAGCGCAGTGAGACACTCCTTCTCTCTGGGCCTCCGAGCAGCAGGCTGCAGCCGCGTGCTTGGAAAGTGACTTTGTGTGCAGTTCCTGTGGTTGTGGAAACGACACAGTGTTTTCCCGATGATGCCACCTGCCAAGCCGCGGAGAGGAAATGAGAGTTTTGTGCAACTTCTGATGCTAACCACGATGACCTGTAGGCCCACAGCACAGACAGTAAGCAGACGGAGAACTGAAAGGCAGTGAAAAACAAAAGAAAGTTGAACTGACCTGTAGACCTCTATTTCTAGTCTGAGAGACGCTCATTAGCCAGAGACATTATCTACATTACAGATTTTTAGCCCCATTTGTTCATCTGCAGCTTCATTATACATCATGTTCACTGAAGGAGCTCGAGCCTCGGAACTGGACGTTGATTTGAGTCATCTCTTGCTTTCATTACAATTTAATGTGTGTTAACACCAGTTTGCCAGATGAGTGCACAGCAGCAACTTCTGACACTGCCATTCTTTCCCATGTAATCCTGTCTGACAGATGACTTCTACATTCACTAGCCCAAATCTTTGGATTTGTAATTAACTTTCCCTCCATAATGATTTAAATAACAATAATAATGGATGTTGGTCAAGGCCAGGCTACATGAGGCTAATCTCAGTAATGTGTGCAGCTGCAGATCAGGTAGATTTGTCAGTCTAATCAGCTGGCTTGTGCTGCTACAGCTGTAAATCACATTAGGCCTGAGTGCGCCGCTGCTGAGCTGGCTGCTTTAGGGAGCAGCAACAGGCCACACATTGGTCACAGCTACGCTGTGAAGACAGGATTACAGATAAATATGTTAGGTGTCTGCCCCAGGAAAGAAGACAAAGAGCAATCACACTCTTTCAGTCGCTGAATACATGGTTCAGAGCCATCATTAAGGGTGATAAAAGACCATAACCAAAAGGATTAGAAAGTGCTTGAGCAGGAAATTGTCTTCCTATCTGAGACATGTAATTGTTTCATCTCTAAATGACCCATTATTTCCTGATCAAATAAAACTCCAAACGTTAAGTTAGTCCTTAAGTTCATCAGTTGACAAAATGCCCCTCAGTAGAGCGTCTCACACCTGTCATATCTGCTGATACTCAGCATTAAGCATCGTGGAATATGATTCTGCTGTGAAACACATCAACTATACCTCAAACTGTTTGGAAATATGGCTGTTCAAGTACTACATGCATATATTCTTGCTTTTGTCAAATGGCACTCTGATTTTATACATGAAATTTTAATTATTATATACCACTATATAGCTTTTGCCATTTTCTTGACTGTTTTTCTTATGGTTCCCCCTAAATGATCTCATGATACTACATTTTATCCCAGTTGGAGATAATACAGAGGAAACCTGGGGAATGCCAGTCACATTCCCATGTGCATCTCCCGAGCAATGTGGCTCACGCTCATCGCTTTGTTTGAACTTTAGCGCGTCTTTAATATTTACAGTGTGTAGCTGCCTTTCAGAGAGGATAGTCACTCTGGGGACTCCTTTGAATGACAGGAGGATTCAAATGGTGCACAGTGGGGGTGTGTCTGGAAGTAGACGCACATGGTAAGCAGATGGCACCTCGGAGATTCCCACGTGAGGGCCGACTGGGACAGACTTGGATGTAGCAGATGATGTTATGTAGTGTCTGTGTTTATTTCTCGGTGTTGTCTGTCTGAGTGGATGCCTAGTGTCCTCTCGGTTTTTGCTGTCAAGAGGTTGAAGGGGGTTTTGTGAGATAGGCCTATATGTTTTATTTTTATTTCTTTTTAACTGTGGGGCTCAAGATGTGTTTTACACTCTGTAAGCCTCAGCAGGGACAGACAACAGACTGTGCTGTAATTCACTTCTTGTAGGTTGGATGCTGCGGCAATCGCAGTCTTCTGTCCCACGTTACAGAAGAATCCTGCTGCCTCTCAGGCTGCCTCTCATCTGTGATTGTGTCTTCAGCCTTTCACTTTGAATCCCCAGTGGCGTAGCCAAGAAAAGTTCCAGTCCCCAGCATTGTCCTGCTAGAATCAGAGGGATGGCCACACAAGGAAACCTGAAACTGATCTTGACGCTTTGAATTTCTGAACGGGCAGGGCTGAGAGGACACTAACCTGCCTATGAGGACATTGGCTGGGGCTCTGCACAGTCCTGAGGCTCTCTCTTTCTCTCTCTCTCTCTCTCTCCCTCTCGCTCGCTCTCTTGCTCTCTCTCACTGTTGTCCGCTCTCTCTCTCTTCTTCCAGTGCTGGCCAGCGCTCCAGCTGTAGGTGGAGCTGGCTTTCCTGGAATTGTCGGGCAACTTTTCCTGTTGTGCTTGCTACCTCTTGCTCAACCTCTTGCTTAATGACAGCTCTGCTGCAGGATTACTGGGGCTGTGAAGACTCCTGCCATCTGGATGCCCCTCTCTACAGCATGCAGGGGTTTATGGCTGGTGCATTTGTTGTCATAAATATGTTTTCATGATTCAGGTCAGAAGTTTTCCCTCAGCAGAAATGTCTCGGCAGTGCAAAGTGGGGCGAAATCCATCGGTGGGTAAAGTAAACTGTGTATGAATGGGAGAGCTTTCAGGAGTGCGTAATTTACTTGGGGCTGTAACGCAGTTTGCAGTGGCTCTCTGCCACAGTGTTGTTTTACAAGCTTTTTTGTAACTTTGGGGTTTGTTATACCACAGGGGATGACATCAGAGGATAAGCGTCTTTGCATTGTGTTTGTCATACAAAGCTCTTCATTTTCGCATTGTATTTAGGACAGCCCGGTTGAGTTGACAACTTAACCTGTTTGACGAGAGTTGCGCAAATGCGGGAGCCGCTATTTTGTAGCTGATAGCTTTGCTAAAGTGATGTGATGTTGGCTTGTGTCTCAGAGTGAAACCTTGCCAAAGAACTGACATGTTGGACGAGTTGTTCAGAAGTTTCATGTGTCACAGTTTCATTTCAGGCTACTTGTATATGCATGAATTAGTTAAGAATCATTCACCACAAACATACAGTAGTTTACAGCACTGTAAATGAATCTGAAATGTTAAACAGAATATGTTCATGAATGATAAAATACCAACACTGAAATGATGTTTAACATATTTTTGTTTAAGACTGAGGGGTTTGAATAGTGAAGAGGTTGTCTTTGATCCTCTATAATAACTTCTAGACACTTTGTGTTTCAAGAACAAAATAGCAGAGACACAAAGGCCCACAGATGCATCACAGTCACTGGAGACAAGTGCAACAATCGCCTCTTGTTTTGTACTGTACAGTGGGATAGCTGAGTGTCTGTGAAGATTTGAATAGAATGGAAAGAACAAACCCAGGTCTGTAGCTCAGAGGTAATTGCTGTATCCTCACAACTTCAAAAGGCTACTTGTGTCCGACTGTCCTGATAATGAGCTTTTGCCTTCTTCACACATAATGAGTGGAGGTAGAGAGTTCACATAGAGAGACGCTGTGAGCACAGTGTGTCCACTCGCAGCTGGGGTGTCTGACTGGCCGGGAACAAAGGCTTAGTGTCTGTGATAGTGTGGAGCCCCAGCCATCAGCAAGCAGGCCAATAGACTTCTGCTTGGCTGAGCTGTCAGTCCTCACTGGCCTGCTGGCCTGCGGACTACAGTATAGAGAGGAACACATGGGGACAGGCTAGACTATTCCTGTGCCAAATTAAAATGAGCTGCTGCTGCATTCTCGAAGTTGTAAGTTCAGCCAAATCGACTTATACACACACGTATGATATATGCATTATATGCAAACACGTGTTTTTTTGCTTGAGCCTTCTCCTGCCTGCTCGTTTTATTTTTCCAATTTGCTTCATTTCCATAATCAGATATGTGTAACAAGTATTTACATAACATTTGTATTCATATTTCATTTTCGGTTTGCAATGGAAATCAAATGACTCAAGATGGAGATGAATAATTTTGTTTTTATTTTCATAAGCACTTGATAATACAGACAGAATATGCATGATGTCTGTTTTTATTCACATTTTTTTTCAAAGAAGCTTCATGTCTAAACCTGGACATTAGGGCTGCAATAACAATCATTTTCATCAAAGATTAATCAGCTGATATGATTCATATAGCTTGTTTTGGTTGACCAACAGTCCAGAATCCAAAGATATTCAATTTACTGTCACTTCAGGCAAATAAAAGCTGAAACCAAGTAGTGTTTAGTATATTTGCTTTAAAAGTATTTTAAGGTTATATTAGTTGCTGATTCATTTTCTGTAATCGGATAATCATTTCAGCTCTACTGTACATGATGCCAAGCGACGTATTTACTTTTCACCATTTTCTGACTAATTTCTCTTGTCATCTTTATAGATAGCTGTTCAGCTTCCCTGGATTTCGCACACAACCCCTCTTTGTTTTGCCTGAAGATGGAAACACTGGAGTCGGAGCTGACCTGCCCAATCTGCCTGGAGCTCTTTGAGGACCCGCTGCTCTTGCCCTGTGCTCACAGCCTTTGTTTCAACTGTGCCCATCGCATCCTGGTCTCCCACTGCACCCCCAGCGAGCCAATTCAGTCCATCAGTGCCTTTCAGTGCCCGACCTGTCGCTATGTCATCACCCTCAACCAGAGGGGCCTAGAGGGACTTAAACGCAACGTTACATTACAGAACATCATTGACCGCTACCAGAAAGCTTCTCTGAGTGGACCTAACTCTCCTAACGAGACCCGGCGTGAGCGAGCCGCCCCCGACAGCAAAGCCATGACATCACCCGGTGACCGGGTGCAGTGTCAGTTCTGCGAGCAGGACCCTCCGCAGGATGCTGTGAAGACCTGCGTCACCTGTGAGGTGTCATACTGCGACGAATGTCTTAAGGCCACCCACCCCAACAAGAAGCCCTTCACGGGCCACCGTCTAATCGAGCCCTTGCTGGATTCCCATCTGCGAGGGCTAATGTGTCTGGAGCACGAGGATGAGAAGGTCAACATGTACTGTGTGACAGATGAACAGTTGATCTGTGCATTGTGTAAGCTGGTTGGCCGACACCGAGACCACCAAGTGGCAGCCCTCAGTGACCGATTTGACAAACTCAAGGTAAGAAGTGATCTGTAGTTTGAGGAATGCTCCTATAGCTGCTCAGAAACATTTGTTCAACACCTCTTTTCAGCTTATCCGGTATCACAGCACGACAGGCGCACAGCTGTCAGTAAGTGTGTTGCATTTCCATTTTATAAAAGATATAAGAGCTGCTGGATTTCAGTGATGTAGAAATGAGTGCAGTAAACCACAGATCATAAGCAAATTATGAAATGTTTTGATGTTTTCGGTTAGAACTGTAATTGTTAACAACATACATTTTTATTATGCTTTACACTGTGGAGCTGTGATACTGAATCTGATTCATAAGAAACAAAAACTCGATAGAGTTAAAAAAATTATGCAGTATTGAAACACACAATGTGATCTCCCTTGCAAGTGCAAATAACTCGATACTGAATAATGTTAAGGCAAATTAGATGCATCTCTGTCAAACATAAATAAAATGTGAAGCAGGCCTTATCTTTAAGCAAATCTACAGCAGCATATGAAATAAATCACCACAAAATGGCTTCCATACTCAGTTAGATTTTACAATAGTGTTTTTGTCTGGTAATATTCTATATTTTTCTTATTGTCAAAAAAAAAAAAATACCATGAAAAGACCAAAACCAACAGTTAATCTAACAAATCTGTGTAGCCAAAGCCTGATATAGCTTATTCCTCTGTGTTCCATAGACCTCCATTGTTGTCCAAACCCACATAACTGAGTCACGCCATCGCACTGGGTGACATGTTCCTTCATTACAATGAAAATGGAGAGTTTAGTTTATTTTGAGTCAATCCCACATAAACCTTGCTTCTACCATAAATACTCATTAGCATACCAAACCCATGACTGAAAATAGTCCCCAACAAATGCTCGATTTACTCCTGCTTGAGTTACATTTGCCCACACTACAGTGCCCAGCTGTTTTAACAGACTATTTTTCCTTTTTTCTTTTCAAAAAAGAAAGTGTATATTCATGACTTGTTAAAGATGTATGTCTTCAGTAGAAAATGAATGGGCTTCGCTTTTGGTCTTTTCACAAGATCATGTTGACCATAATAGAAATACAGAATATCGCCAGCCTTCTCCTTTGAGACCACCTTTATCATAAGAAACGCCGGCGCATTAGATATACACTGTATGAATAGAGCACACAGTAAAGTGACTTGGAAGCTCTCTCTCACTTAGCCAGTCTTAAATGTAATGACACCCAATGCAAGAGACTGCTTTCACAGTTTTAGGTTAAGTGGAGCTGTTCACTTTCAGCAGATGGGCTGACATCAATAAGACATGAGAAGATGCTGTTTGCTGGAGCATAAAAAAGGTGGCTCTGCATTCCTTCCATTATAGACTTGAATGAGCCTCTCGTATAAGAGATTTTGACTTATTAGGTTAGTGTTTTGCCAACACAGTTGCTCTCTACTGTGGCTCCAGCAGTCTCATGGGATCATTTTTATAGCCACTACAAGGCAATCATGCGGTGGAGCTTTATTTTGAAGCCTTTAAGATGTAATAGCGGTTTTAGCTGTACACAAACAAAGCAAGGCCATTCCTTTTAAATCATTAAAATATCTGCTGTTTTTAATTTGGGAGTAAGTCTTGAACTCGGCTGGATTTGAGCTTTTTTCAGTTCGCTTTAAGTTCACCTTAAAGTTTATCCAGAGAACCTGCATGGCGTAGACTGCATGAAATAAAAAACGAGGGTCCTCCTTTTGTTCACAAACACTCACAGCATGACTCACAAAAAGGAAGGTTTACTGTATCACAAAGTAACACTCCGAAACTCTTTTGTGCCTGTTCCTCTGTTTCACAATGCTTGGCCACGGTGGGACTGGGATGCAAACAATCTTTTGCAACATTTTGGCGAGATAGTTCAGTGGACCAGTCTTAACATGTCTCCTTTGTCTGATCATGCTGTCATTGTGCAGAAATCTTCTGGCCGCTTTCTCTGTGTGGGGCGTGATCATTCACACCAGGAGGCAGACCAGGTGATCAGCATCATTTCTTTAATTACACACTCAGGGACAGACTTATGTTATGGAACAACCTCAACCTGAATGCTACTTTCTAAGGGCTCTACTTCATTCAGTTATCCTTTTGAAAACCAACGCAAAGAGTGAAATGAGAGTGAAATACATTCGGCACATAATGCATCTGGTCAGTGATAACGTAGTCTTGGTGGTTATTAAGGTGACAGTTACAGTACTGTGCTTTGTGTTGCCATTATTCGATGTAGTAGTGAATGTACAGTCTCTTTTTAATAAAGCAAATTCTCCCAGTGGTAAAAGAGAGAAGAGTATCGGACAGTTTGTGAGGAGTAGAGTCCTTTATCCTTTATCTTCTGATAGACTTACACAAGCTGTGATCTGTTTCCTCTGCTGTATAATATCCTCAGCTGCTTGACGCAATTCTTTACAGTGGGATGTATTCTACTAATCCATGCTTTTATTTTGTTTTTGTGTCTCGTTGACCACATATCACAGTACAGTTAGCTGCATTGTTAGAAGCCTCGAGTGACAGAGGAAACAGCAGTTCCCATCTTAGAGAGAAATTGTTTTGTTTTTTTTCTCATTGCGCAGGGCAGGACCCAGGTGGCACGCAGCTGAGCTTGTTCATAGTTGTTGGTTTTTCCAAACACATGTTTACAGCCACACTGCCTCACATCTCTCTCAAACTCTCTCACAAAGGGAAACTGTGGCATTGTAAAAATGTGAGTTTGTGTGTCTGTGTGTGCCTGCACGTATAATGCAATAATTACTTCAGTCTGGTTCTGGCATTATATGACATGACCCTGGTCTGGCATTATATCTGTTATTATCCATCCATCATCCATTATTAATATTATGTAAATTTATAATCAGAGGAGTGGCCGTAGCATATCCCAACATGCACTGGGTGAAAGGGAAGAATCTTTTTGCCCATTGCGTGTTCAGGAAAAAAAAAGAAGAAAAAACCCAGGTTGCTAGTCTGTTGCAAGGCTTATATATATATAAACAGACGAAACACCCGCATTCACAGGCAATTTTAAGTTTGAACAGAATTCGAGTCGGAGCAGAAAAACTGTGGGAAGAAACACAGAAAGCACCAGGATTGAAATTCAAAACAGGGCCTTCCTCTAGTGACACACAGTGCTGACATCTCTAATATCAGTTATAGTGATATTATTTCAATGTCAAATAAAAATAACCATATTTGAAAATAATCTCAAAAAAAGAATGTGTTGCATCACTAGTCTTATTTAGTGACACCTCCAAACACCCCAAATTTTCATAGCAGTTAATTTCCCATACGCTATACTTTCATATGACTTTGTATTATAATTATCCCATGATTAATGTTCCTGAAACACTCCTGCAGAGTGCACTGGTATTCAGAGGCACCTGGGCTACGGCACATCATGTTCCTTTGTCCTGCAGGATCAGCATATCAGATTACACACTAGGACCTTCCTGACATATAAAGGCTCCTCTTTATCTGTTAGAATTTCATTCTAAAGTGACATTTTATGAAAACTTAGTCCCTCTTTAGCTTAAGATGACTTGTCTAAACAAAGGCCATTTTTGTTGCAAGGTAGATTATGTTAAAGAAAAAAATATAATTGCAATATATATTTCAGTAACAGATGGTATGAAACACATTATATGGGTGGTTATTTAGTCTGTAATTCGATTATAATCAAAAGTTGAATGAACACCACTTAGATTTAAAACAAGCTTGGGACCTGTGTTTCCCTTCCTCTGATTAAGTGTTTTTATACACAGCCTAAGTATTATGAGTCTTTCGCAGCTCAATAAGTAGAATATACATTAACAATATTTGTACAAAAGACTTATATTTAAAATTATAATCAGAAGAAAAACCCAACTCTAACTCCTTTCTATGCTTGTTATGTATGTGGTTAAAAAACTGATTGGGCCTTTAATGCACAGCTTTCAGAGTGTATAGTTAATGGATACTGCACTGTAGTGCACTAGAACAGGACTTCTGTTCTGTCCACACTGTGATGTGTGTTTGTGAAATTCAATGAAAGCTTACACCGCCAACAAAGTTAAAATTGCAGTTGTGTCTCAGGACCCGTGGTGCTCACAGGATAAAGCGACAATCTTTTACAATGGATAAAATTTCTAATGTTGACACAGGATAAAACTCAAAGTCCTGACAGGTCACTGTCAGGACTTTGAGAGGAAGGAAGAGAGACTGGCCAAAGCAAAGGTGCGGGACCAGAAGCACTCACATTCAAAAGGAAGCTGCTATTCTTTCCTCTCATCAGCTTTAAATGATTTTAGGAAAGAGACTTCCATTAGAGAGAGCTGTCCAAACACACGAGGAGTATTAATGTTGCAGGAGAAGCCATACTTTAGGCGCATTGAGAAATCCACTGCAACAGAATGAGAGAGGTGAACACACTTTGTCTCTCACGCTCTCTGTATTTAACATTCGTCTCTCCCTCTCTCTGTACGGCCTTTATTTCTGTGATACTTGTCTTAATCAACAAGCAACAACAAACACACTTGGAGCCTTTTTACGCTCATACACTTGTCCATATTCAAAATCAGTTTGATCAATGTTGTGTTTCATGTGTCCGGTCTGAAAGTTTTGAACCCACCTCACCTTTACCTGCAGCTCAGCGTCTGAGATGGCTTTCATCGCCTTCTCTTCCATATGAATAAATAATATTTGTGAGAGCAGTAAAATAAGACCTCTGCTATTTCAGTAGACAGTGACGCACACACCTCATAAAATCACAATGCGAAACATCTAAGCTGAAAAAAGTCTCCCAAGTTTTGGACCTTTGCAGGCCTCTCTTACCTGTTTGTTCTCTTCTTTGACTATTTGCTATTTCCGTTTTGATGAAAGGAAAATCATGAACAATGTTCAAAATTACATTAGCTAAACTAAAAATTGCATTATTACATAATTTTACAGTATTTGTGAGATGTTTTTTGAAAGAAAACGTTTTTATAATGTTTGTGCTTTCAACATATGAAGATAAAGTGAATAAAAAATCCATCTCGGACATTAATTCTTTAAAATCACAAATCAAATCACATATATTATTAAAGACTTTTAATCATGAAAAAACTAGGCTTCTTAAGGCATCATAAGATATTAATAATCTAGATCTCTTTTTTCTGTTGTCAATCCATTTTGGAGTTAGAATATCCTACACCTCTGTTATCAGTTTTATTTTGATTTAAAATCATTGCTAGCACACTGTAACGCCATCATGCGGTTATCTTTTATTTTAAGAATAATAATACTTACACTGCACCACCATAGTACGCAGTCATCATGCTGCCCAATTACAGTGAGAGATTAAGTTTGAAACATAAGCCTTTGATCTGAGTCAGTGATTAACAGGCAGGGTTTAGTTGTCCAAATCACTGGCAGATGCTCTGCTAAGCTCCATGGCCTCAGCAGGCAGTATGATGGGATCTTTGGCACATGGGGAGGACTGGGGTGGAAGGGGGGGCTGGGGGCTCTACACAAATGTGGCCAGTCATATCCAGTGGCAGCCTTGTGTGTCCTCTCCTGTGCTCGTTACAGATATGGTCCTTATGTTCCCATTCACCTAACTCTCCTCCAAGATTTATTCAGCTGTTTACAGTTTGATGTTTGGGGGAGGTGGGGGTGTGTGTGTGTATGTGTGTGTATGTGTGTGTGTGTGTGTGTGTGTGTGTGTGTGTGTGTGTGTGCGGAGTGACAGGGGAGGGGAGCAGTGTGTAATGAAATATTCCTTTTCAATTTTGTTTTGCAGCAAGCCTTGGATTCCAACCTCAGCAGTCTCATCAAGAGGACCAGTGAGTTGGAAAGTCTGATGGGCAAACTTATCCAAACCTGCCAACACGTGGAGGTGAGGTTGTTTATCTGTTCCCTTTCAGGTGTGTGTGTGTGTGTGTGTGTGTGTGTGTGTGTGAGGAAGGGGGGGGGGGGGGGGCTCTTAGCCTCTGTGGCATTTCATGGGCAACAACTCATTAAATTATTAACACCATGATGAATCACTGTATCTCAGAGTGGCTTTTCATCATGTCAACAAGATTAAGTGTTCATTAGTCTATAGATCAAAACATTTCTGCAGTATTCATGTATTTTGCTGCAAATTCTGTATTTTGACCTGAAGTGTGGGCCAAATATTTATGCATTTAAAAAAAAAAAAGAACATATAAAATAAATGCTATGTGAATCCTTGAAAGGCACATCAAATAAAGACCAGTCATGATATATTGTTATATTTACACTCCTACACCTTGTATCCTCAAACTGTTACTCAAAGGCATGTAAATATTTTTACCTCACCGTGCATTAGTTACTGACCTGGCTCAACACAGGTCATTAAATGTGCTAATTTCGCTAAAACATCTCATTACATGTATGTTACAATGTCTGTGATCACGCATGTGTTTGGGATTAAAAAAAAGACCAAATTAACTGGGTCAGCTGATTGCTGAAAGAATGATGATGAATTAGACTCCAATGTGTTTTTTTCCTGCCACATCAGGTTTACATAAAATTGATTGTGCTGTTAGTAACACATGCTAGAATGATTCCAAACTTCGATTTGTGCGGTGCAACATTTAGTCAAAGGGAATTAATTAGAGTTCCAGTATTGACTGTCTCTTATCTACACTTACTGTGTGTCATGTCTAGGTAAATGCATCACGACAGGAAAACAAGCTGCTTGAGGAGTGTGAACTGCTGATTAATATCATACAGCAGCGACGACAAATCATCGCCACCAAGATAAAGGAGGGGAAGGTACTGTTTATCACCTTTTGTGTGTTGATAACCTTTGTTTGTTTATCACCTTGCATGTCCTGATAATTACCTCCCCACACAGCTGACAAGCTAGCTCACAGCTCAGCACTTGAGCAAGCTGTTCTCGCACGACTTCAGCAGTAACACATTATTGTTGTTGGGTTAAACCCTGTATCTACCAACTGTTACTCTTCAAAGCAAGGGCGTGTAACTTCAATCAATAGCACATCTATATTCTTACAAATAAGCAGCTGAATTCATAGGCAAGGAAACACAAGCTTGTGCCACTCAATACACACAGAGGCTTTGATGCCACAGTCTCTACTTGTGCAAGGCCTTTGTATTTTAGCATATCACAGATTAGGCCCAGTTTGTTCCTTTCATGTATTAGCATTGCATTAGTGTCAAGGAGCTATGCATCCAATTTTCCAGCAAATGGAAACCCAAAGGGTCCTTGAACAGCACGTACTGCTGCTCTTAAGGTATTTCCAGAATCCTCAAAGACTAAATGTTCTGCTGCATTATGATAAATATATATATTTAACCAGTTTGTCAAGTTGCAACTCTCTTTTCTTAATCAAAACAAAGATGATTTCCAGAAATAATACACGCTCTTGCTCAATTTGTTTAACATGGACCAAAATTTTCAAAAACAATGTGTTGTCTCTTATGTTGGCATATAATTATTATTATTTTCTTTGTTATATACTGTGATAAAAAAGATAACAACAACAAAGCAACAACATAGTATGTTAATTCCAGCTGCCCATAATAGGAAATACAGGAGCGACTTGGTAAAATGGGTTAAACGCCTTTTTTTATTGTGGTACAATGGTATTACATGAGAAGCACAAACCGAATCCAATCACACATTTTGCATTTTAATTATTTTATTGCAAAAGTAAAACTCAACTCAGCCTAACTTACAGTATTTAAACAAGAAGTAAAAACAGCATACCTGTCAGGAGACATATTGTTTCCTGTTGTTGAACTGGAAAATGAGGAAATGCTTATTGTTTACTGCATTCCAATTTCAAATGTACACCTATGTTATTCAATCTATATTTAATAGTAAAACATCCTGTGACAGCCTGACATGCTTTCTACTGCTTTCCAGTGTAACATACATGGCATGAGAAAATGTACAATGCATTAATGGTTCATAAAAAAGTTTTTTTTTTTTTTTTACTCTAAAGCTCAGGCAGCTGGCTGGTGGTCCTTACATCTGTTTGGATACATTCTTTTATTTTGACTTATATATACAGTACATGTAGGCTGCTTGCACTGAAATACTCACCAGACTGCAGAGGTTATTGCTTTGTTTTGTCCCGTGCCTTGTATCAGCTCTGGAGCACATCTGGCACAGTGTCCATACATGTAGTGCGAATGTGCAATGCCTCTTGAATTGTTTCAGCCCACCCCCCACCCCCTGTTGCCATTAGAGAGGTGGTGGCATGCTGTGCTGCGTTCAGTGTCAAAGTTAAGATCAGCCCTGCTTCCTGCGATGACCGTCTCTGGAGGAGGACTCTTTCCTTCCTCACCCCGTGCCTCATGTCAATTTGAGAGGTTGCTCTCAGCCAGTGAGCCACAGTGGGGGGATGGGAGGGTCTGGTTACTGTGACAGTGTTATGAGGGATGTTTCATAAACACACCTCTCGTGCCCGTGTAGCTTTTAGAACATTGTTACACAACTGAAAAATCTAATTGTCCAAGGTGTAAATCTGATTTCTTCCCCAGAAGGATTTTCCAATTTGCCAGGTAAAATCAAATCTACCATCTGGCGGGTCGGTGCCTCACGCAGAAGGTCATACATTGGTTGGTTTATTTACCAAGCTTTTCATCTATCAACGTGTCCTATTTTCTGCCCAGTCTGTGCGCCTGAGAAAGCTAGCCCAGCAGATAGCCAGCTGCAAACAGTGCATCGAGAGGTCCTCCTCCCTCATCTCTCAAGCCGACCAAACCCTCAAGGAGACAGACCACGCTCGCTTCCTTCAGACGGCTAAAAGTATCTGTGAGAGGTGAGGAAACAGCTACAGTCAGAAGATATACAGCACACAGTGTATAAAAGTGTCATAAATGTCTTGTGTATACATCTTTATTACAGAGTATCGATGGCAACGGCATCCTCCCAAATCCTGTTACCAGAAATTAATCTGAATGACACTTTTGATAGTTTTGCTTTGGACTTCACGAGGGAGAAGAAAATGCTAGAAACCCTGGATTACCTCACGGGTGAGTGATGGTGGGGAGTTAAGAACACAATATTTTATGGTTTGGCAGGAAACCTATCTGTGAATTAATATAATCTATCTATCCTCCTCTCCTCACCTTATCTTTTGATTATGGATTCATACAGTTATCATCATACAGTTTTGGCATGGATAGGAACAGGGAGTTTATATTTCAACTATAACCGTGCTTGTTAGCAAGTGACAAAAAACTAAAAAGCTCAAAATAAGAGAGTGCAATTAAGATTTATTTTCTGCTGAATGAAACAGGTTTGATTGTTTATGCTTAGTGCCTGTTGTGCAGCGTGAAGTTAACTCTGCGTGGGGGCTGCAGCTATAATAGCTAGAGGAACCGCTACCGAGCTTAATTACACTTGTCAGGATTAAAAACACAAATGGAATGGTGCTGTTTACCACAACTGGTCTCCGCAACATGTTGTGAGTTTTTTCTCTTTTTTTTTTTTATGTTGTGGTGGATAGAATACCATCCACGCAGCTTTCATTAATGTCTTCAAACGTTTGCCTTTTGTTTTTTACGATTGCAGCACCAAATCCACCAGTAATCCGTGAGGAATTGTGCACAGCTTCATATGACACGATCACAGTCCACTGGACATCAGATGATGAGTTCTCTGTCGTATCATATGAACTTCAGTATGCCATCTTCACCAGCCAATCCAATGTTGTCAGTAAGTCTGCATGCAGCTCTCTGGTGGGAGTGCAGTATAATGTTTGTGTTGGAAAACATGGAAATGATGGGAGGTATTTGAAAAGGATTTCAATAAATTGTTTGCAGGCTATGTTACAATATCCAAAGATAACATTGTATTGAAGCAGCAGGAGAGTAGAGCTCTGCATATTTTATTTTTTTTTTTTTGAGTGTCTGTACGGAAAAAAAAATAGCAGCTCAGTCAGACTACATTTACATCCAGATGCGCATCATAAGAAGCTCGACATTATCTCGGGGTTGAAATGAGCAGCAGGCTGTTTGAATTGATTGCTCTAACAAGGTCACAACATGCTTGATCAAGCAATTTATTCTCATCTGCCTCAGTGTTCAAGCACGCATGGATGAGTGGTAATGTGACTATATTTGATGAGTCAAAATAGGAGCTGTAGATCGAAACGCTGCTAACAATTACGCTGTATTGTCTTAATTTCAAACATTGATAGAGGCACTAACTTAGGAGTTCTGTTGATAACTTGGTTTGTTCTTTGTCGGTGACTCTCTCTCTCTGTCTGGGCTGCAGGTTTATGTAACTCTGCTGATAGCTGGATGATCGTACCAAACATCAAGCAAAATCACTACACAGTGCACGGACTGCAGTGTGGCACAAAGTACATCTTCATAGTGAAGGCCATAAATCAGGCTGGAAACCGCAGCAGTGAACCAGGGAAACTCAAGACAAACAGTATGTCAAGTTCAGCAACTATACAAAATATACTCTCATGTATAATTGATTATCAAAGAGTTTAAAATTACTGGACTGTTTTATTTTATTTCTTTTAAGGTCAGCCGTTCAAGTTGGACCCAAAGTCCGCTCATAGGAAGTTGAGGGTGTCTCATGACAACCTGACAGTGGAGAGGGATGAGACATCATCCAAGAAGAGCCACAGTCAGGACCGCTTCTCCAGCCACAGCAGCTACGGTGTCACAGGAAACGTCTACATCGACAGCGGCCGCCACTACTGGGAGGCTCTGATAGGAGGAAGCACATGGTAAAAAACAGTTATGGATCTCAGGATGGCAGTGCGGGTCTGATGAGTTGATTGGTTGGTCCACCATGTTGGTCCAGACTTAAATATATCATCAACTATTGGCTAGATTCCAGTGAGATTTGGTACAGATGTTCATGTTCTCCACAGAATGAATTGTAATAACTTTGGTGATCCCCTGACTTTTCATTTAGCACCATCATCAGGTCAAAACAAAGCATCACTGTGCCTGAGTGCAGCCTCACAGGCATGGCTGTAGACTTTTAGTTGTATTTATTTCATCATTGATAATGTGTCAGATTTAAAATGTTAGACATGTAGTGGTGATTTATGAAATCTTCCTTTCTACTTTTCTTTGGTAATGCAGGTTTGCAGTGGGCATTGCGTACAAGTCGGCGCCAAAACATGAGTGGATCGGCAAAAACTCGGCATCGTGGGTACTGTCTCGCTGCAACAACTCGTGGGTGGTGCGTCACAACAGCAAGGAGATGCCTATTGAGCCTTCACCCCACCTGCGGCGTCTCGGCATATTGTTGGACTACGACTCTGGATCTCTGTCTTTCTACGATGCTGTCGGCTCTCAGCACTTGTATACGTTTGACATCGCCTTTGCTCAGCCAGTTTGCCCTGTGTTCAATGTGTGGAACAGGTGTTTAACAATCCTCACGGGACTGCCCATCCCAGACCACTTAGAGGGGACCGATTACAACAACTGACAAAACCTGTCCTGCTGGATTTTCTTTTGTGTACCCAAAAAAAAAAAGAAAAAAAAAAAGACCAGACTGAATTAATGGCCCTGGTGTACATTCCTATTCAAGCCTATGTTGAAATTATAATTGGAATTATTTAAGAAATTATTTACAAGCATCTGTAAATGTATTTCTTTGCTTTGCACATTTATGTACATTACTCAGCTAGATGGTTTTAAAGGGTTTGCTTACAATTTTAAATTCATAGAGCTATTTTCAATAGGCTCTAGATATTTCTAAGTTCATATTACATGCTTTTACATTCCTGTGTTGTTAAGGGTAATGATAAATCTTTAAGTGACAAGCCAACTCTTTGACTCTAATGTTTTTGAAAGGCTGTATTGTAAGGTGTAATGTTTCTGAAAGTTTTTTTTTTTAATTCATAGCACTTTGAGAAGACAAAGTTGTCACTATAAAATGTATTTCTAAGCCACTTGCACCATAACACAAATGTTTGCTTGTCATTCTTTTGTAAGGAAAAGGCACTTGAATAGATCAGATAACAGTAGTTAAGAAGTTTCACTTAGAAATTTTAATTTGAAATCAGTCAAGTCATTTATTAACTGCAAATGCTCTACTACAGTTAAGCGTTGAGAAATCATTCATTTTCTCATTGTAGCCATTTCAAAAGAGCTCATCTTCGCAGCTTCTCGTTTAATTTCTCTCTGACAAGATATAATAAAAGTGACTTCATTTGATCAGCTGTGTGACTTCCTGTCCTCCTCGTTTTAAGACTCGCTGCATGCTAAAAATGGGCCCCAGTAAGATGATAATTCATTACACTGTACACTTGTTTACACTCATTTATACTTGCTCTCTCATTAAAAGCTTGAACAAGCTCTCACAGTGCCGTAGTGAAAAGAAAACACCACCACCATGGAGAAAAGTGTCAGTCTTGCTTTACGGGACTCACTCTGACCCACACTCTGTGCCAAAATACAACTTCTGACAAGATCTGCTCTGACATCTCTTTTTGTACTGGAGTAACGTGGCTTGAATTCTGCAGCGTCTCCTTTCAGCTAAAGGAGACGAGCAAAAAAAGGAAAAAGGAAAAAAAAGAAATCCTGAACTCTGTGTGACCTCCCCGTGAGACACCCTGAAGACAGAGCTGTAATATGTGAACACCACCACCTCCATGTAATTTTGTTAGATTCTGAGATGTGTATATTTTTGTGTATAAAAAAACACTGGAAGATTAATTCCTACACATAGTTAATTCCTACACTGTAAAAAGAATAAAAAGATAATACATGAAAGCATTAAAATTAAGACATTTTCTACTATATTGAGCTAATACAAAATGTTATGTGTCATAATGAAGAGATTAGGTGCATCAGTCAATATATAATTCATTTGATAAAAATGTCTGAAGATCACAGAAAAATTACATTTCTGTATCATTTTATCACATATAGAGCAATGGTTTAGAAAAGGTGTGAAATACGTTTTTGTTAAAGACAATGGGTCATTGGTTATGAAGTGTTTCCAATAATTTCATAATTGATGGTATAATGAAACAAAAAAAGAGACAAAATATATTTTGTCCATTGTTTGCTTTTCCATTATGAGAGAACACATCCGAGCACTGCTTTATCTTCTCCATGACTTAACAAAGACCGACATAGTGGATTTGGCAGAAACTAAAATGAACACTCTGTAAATATGTTGAGGGGGGGGGGAATTGCAGTGCTTACAATGAGTCTGATCAAATGCTTTACACTGAGTGAGTATTTGGAGAAAAGAAACCAATTTGCCAACATAATGAAAAAGAACTGAAAATCTCAATTTGGCGTATTAAAATTGCACCCCAGGGCTCCACCTGCTGGATTTGTATTTTATGTGACAGATTAATTTGCTGCTAGGAGCCACAGTCAGTCCCACCCAGAAATCCCATCTATCACATTAGACTATTTGTCTTGTGGTGTTAGCATTATAATGATACTATTATGGGCTCAGTTGTCATCCAGGTGGCATCTAAGGTGAATTTACAGTAGTTTAAGTTCAGTAGTTTAAATTCAGAAAAAAATATCATTGTGAATTGACTGATTTGATTTGATTCTGTTATAACCAACATACATGTAACACACTTATGCAAATACTCACATCTTCTTATAAAAGTTCAAGATTAAACTCACCAATAGTTTGCAAAAAACAAAGATTAAAAGAGACTGGGTATTAGAAACATGTTTTTTTTTCTTCCTCTTCCATTAATAATCTCACAACCATTCAAATTTATCATGTGACCCTCTGGAGGGGCCTGATGTCTGAAACCACTCAACTAACCCACACAGCAGTGTACAAACTAGTTAAAAGTAGCTCCACCTGGAGCAGCCTCAACAGTAAAATGCTGCTTATGCACTGTTTATCAGTATTAGGAATTCTATGTAATAGATAATAATATATCACCCACAAGAGCCATCTTTTTTTACATGTAACGAGTACTTTTACTTTTGATACTTTAAGTATGCTACATTTTACTGATATGTGATAGCACTTAAGGATTTTGAATGCACCATTATTTATTTTTACATTAACACATTGATGCTTTTTGCTTGAGGGAATTATACCTGAATACTTTTTCCACCTCTGTATAGAATATTTCTTATTTCAGTTTTTTTTTTCTTTTAATTATTCTTCAGTAAATTGTGAGGTGTGGTGTGAAACTGTGTCAGAATTATAGACAGGATCAGCCTCTTCACCAAGCCACGCCCCCGCTCCCGGGACAGGAAGTACCTGCGCGTTGCTGCTGACGTTGCTGCTGTCCAAAGCAACGATGGCGTCCACAGATCAGTCCCTCCTGGACTTAACGGATAAAGACACCCGGGAGAAACTGTCGTTATGGGATCGCCGTACCGATGCCATGGCTCCCCTCACGGAGAAGCAAATGGACTCTGTCCTGGAGATCCGAGCCGCAGCCGAAACGCCCTCTGTCCCCTCAGAGGTGAGATGTGACTCCGAAACCAGCTAGCTAGCTAACATGGTTGCTAATTTACTTTCCAAGCGTAATTGAGGTAAAAAAAAAAAAACCCCGAAACGGCCTCTGTGCGAACTTAATTCACCCCTCTGTCATGTTAACAGGATATCAAAGTTAATATGAAGCGGAATAATAACTTGTAAGCTAATCAGTGGGCTTGCATTAGCACTCCGCCACGTCAAGCTATCCAGCTAGCTTCATGCGCAGGCTAGGTGAGTCTGTTCAGAAACAAGGGGCTCTGTTTTGTTTTGCAGCTTCCCATTGAGGACTTGTGCAGCCTTTCGTCCCGGTCCTTGCAGTCCCCGTTTACAGCGACGGTGCCCGCCTCAACAGAGGACGTCCTGCTCAAGGGTTTCCAGATGCTTGATATGGAGAATGATAGGATAGAAACTGCACAGCAGGTGACTTGTCTTTGTCAACAATAAACAGTGCTATAGCCAGTCAGACTTACTGTACCATAATAAGATGCATGGCTGTAATGTAATGCCGATTTGTGTTGCAGTTTTTTTCCTGGTTTGCCAAGTTACAATCAAACATGGACCAGGATGAGAGCTCAAAATACAGGTACTTCCATTTTAAAGTGCTTCATCCTAGATGGTGGTGTCATACTGTTTGTAATGGAGTGTTGCTTCTTGAACTTCTAGTTAGGCAAGGCAGAGCCAGCACACCCATAGACTGTAAAAACACACATCCACTCCACACATCATATATAAACTAACCTGGTTTTAGACCTCTGAAGGGCTGCCCCTGTCTCAGATTTGGTCTGTGATTATCAGGCTGGCTAGACATAAACTACAGACACAAACATGCACAGACAAAGATAAAGTAACCAATCACATGCCTGAGACAATAGGAATGTTTGAAGTTTGTGTTTGGATGTTGACACAGTTTGGACAGATCTCAGCCCATCTTGCAAAGTGTCTCACAGAGTAATACCAAGTGTAAGGCAGAAATATGTTGCTGCCCTGCTCTGTATGGGCTAAACTCTCCTTGAATTCACCCCAGAACTAGAATGGCACTCAGTTGAGTGCACACCTCAGCCAAGGCCAAACAATCCTGCACATGTCTGTCAAATCCAGATTACTACAGTATACATCATAAATGAGTACACCCTCTCTTATACCTATCAAATTCAGTGCTTTCTCTTTACAAATAAGATATATTTGAGGTTCTATATAATGCAATATTCCAAGAACTCTCCTACATCAGTTACCAATGATGTATGTCAATACTAAACAGGAAAATCTGATTTTCTTGTCAAAATGGTAAAAAGTCATGTTGCAAAAATTAGTAAATCCTCCTGAAAGTTACAAAATAAGACTTAATAAGTGTTGTTTGGTGCTCGTTAAGGGCATCACACCAGGTGTGTCTGTTGAACCAGCCCACTCAACCAGGTGTAACTGGTTGACAATTAAAGTGGCACCTAACCCATTGAATTGCTCTCAGACTTAATGCTGATAACAATGGCACCACATGGGAGAGAATTGTTTGGAGACTTGAGAAACAGAATTCTTTCATTGCACAAAAAAGGGCAAGGGTACAAGAGGATTAGCAAATCATTGTTATTAAGTCAGAGCTCAGTAGCAAAAGTGATACAGAAATTCAAAAAGGACATACTTCAAAAAGGATGGAAACGTCGTGGTCGTCGTCATAAGCTTTCACCTTGGGGTGAGTGAGTTTTGTTGAGAGAAGTGCAAGTCACCTTCCTATGAATTGATATGTTGATCGTTTAGAAAACATTTATGTTCAGAGGGGGTGTACTCATTTATGCTGTGTACTGTATATGGATCATAACTAGAAATGTATCTTAATTTTATACATCAAAATCCATGTTATTTCCTGAGAAATTAATGTAAAATTTTGAAAATGTTAGGGGAAAGTGATTTATTGAGCTGCCCCTTTTAACCAGATCAGCACCAAAATGTTCCCTGGCCCATGCCCCATCCCTCCACCAAGTTTGGTGCAAATCAGTTCATTACTTTTTGTGCAATACTGCTGTCAGATAAACAAATATACACAGGTGAAAACAGAATTTCTTGGCAGAGGTAATGATATCACAGCAGGTGTTTTGTGATTGACAGCTGCTGAACGTTTCAGCCAATAGGGACCAGTGCATCAAGTTTTCTTCTCATTGTGAAATTGTAGTGAGACTGCTATGTAGTCCAGTAGGTAGCTTCACTGCATTATTTAGTCAAAGCAAATAGATCTCTTATCTCTCATATCTGCTTTCCATTCAGGAAAACCAGAGATGATCTAAACTGTTACCAAGAACAATGCGATGCTATTCTTAAAGATGTCAGTGCAGCTCTGGAGCACTTGGAGTCCCTTCAGAAACAGTACCTATTTGTGTCCAATAAGACTGGAACTCTGCATGAGGCCTGTGAACAACTCCTAAAAGAACAGGTAAGAAGGCCACTGTCCTTTCTGTCTTTAAACCAGCTTTATTCATCCAACTAGCGTATTGCTAAGACTTAAGAGTGGAAGATGTTTAAATTGTAATGTAATTTATTGTATACATTTTTTTGTATTTAGTATTTGCGAACATGAACACACCTCCCCTTCCAGAAACTGTAGAATTATCTGTAATTTAATATATTCTAATTTAATGATTTATTTTATTCATTCTTATCTCATTTTACATTGTTTTTCATTTTAAATCAGTGCTTTTTAACATGTTTTTATATTCATTTTATGTCTTTACATGTGAAGCACTTGGTGCATGTCATTTCTTTGTTGTAGCACTTTGTGCTACATTTCTTGTATGAAAGGTGATATACAAATAAAATGTAGTAGTATTATGTCTGCATGCTCTAAACTCTGGAGCTCGTCTGAGTTGAGAAATTGTGTGAAAGCAACTGTGGTAAACCCTAATGGAGTCACTGGACATGACTGGAAATACCGTGCACTATCTAGTTCAGAACATCATGACACAGATAAAAGCTTGTCTGAAAATAAAATTGCTACCAAGCATTCTGCAATCTGCTGTTTGTTCTGTCTGTGCTGTATTTAATATCTTATTGACGCTGCAGTTTTTTTTTTTTTCTTGTATTTTCCCTGCTGATGCAGGTAGCTGCTCGTGTTCACAAATGTATGTAGACTTTACCATCCGAGGAAGTTGAACTGAGCTGAATTTAAACTGCCATGCTGTATTATGTCAACTGTGGTTTGTTGTTCTCTCTCTTTGCAGTCAGAGCTTGTTGACCTGGCTGAGAGCATACAGCAGAAACTGTCATATTTTAATGAGTTAGAAAACATCAACACGGTAGGCTGGATTTTTTTTTTTTTTTTTTTTTTTTTTTTTTTTTTGGTCAACATTTGGTAACTAAATGTATGCACTGTAAATGATGTCAGTTAATTGCTTAATTATATATAGACCCAATTATCAGCAGAATCTCATTAAGAATTCTCAAGAACTTTGTCAGCTACAATTCTAATGTAGTTCTTTCTAAAGTGTTTTTTTCTTTATAAAATTATACTTACTGAATGGACCTCATCTCATCTCACCTACAAACCCCTGAAATATAGAAACAAAATCTGTAGCACAGCCTGGCCTAAAATTACAAACGACAGATCTCTGGCAGTGGTGGCTTTGCCAAATGAAGAAAAAAACTTTGTTCAGAAAGACCAAGAGCTGGAAGAACAAAATTATTATTTTGAGTTACTTCAAACCTAACTTTTTCTTTGTCTTTGCAGAAACTGAACTCGCCAACCTTGTCTGTAAATAGTGAAGGATTTATACCAATGCTGTCAAAATTGGATGACTGCATTGAATATGTTTCTTCACATGTAAGTAGCTTTCACTATATATTTCTTCCTTTTTAAATCTCTTTTTTTAAACGTATTTCTTTGTCTTAGCCTTTGGTTATGTGTGATTCATGTTTTATTTACATTGCTTTATCCCATATCATTGTTTTTACATATGTTATTTCTGTCAGATCTTTTTGAAAGGTTTTGATGATGTTTTTATTATGCTGTCGTACACTTTTTATGATGCCAACTTTGGATTTTTCTTATATTTAGTTTTACTTGTAAAGCAGTTTAACTTTTAAGAAAAGTGCTATATAAATGTATTATTGAAAAAAATTTCAGTTCTGTCTTTGCGGATCTTATTTTATTACCAGTGTTAGTTATTATTCACAAAATCATGTTTTTAGGCAGTAAATGAATTTGTATGCCTCTTATGTATTAACTGCTTATTTATACCCACTGTGCTACGAAGAGTTTTGTTTGTCTTTTTTTCTAATGTGAAAATGTCCAAGGCCTTGATAGTGTTCTGTTGACTTGTTATGACTGCAGTAATGTGTTATATAGTGAGTATGTGGTAATTAAACCTGTCTAATGCTTGTTTATCTCTACTGATTGCAGCCAAATTTCAAGGACTATCCGGTTTATTTGGCCAAGTTTAAACAATGTCTTTCTAAAGCTATGCACTTCATGAAGATCCACATTGTAAACACTATGCAGAATCTTACAAGCCAGTTAACAAAAAGGGTAAGGAAAAAGTTACATTTCCATTAGATACTGTAAGTGCTTGGTTCATTGTCAGTACCTTATTTTATTTTTTTGCAACCCTACAGGATCCAATGGGCTTGACCAACGCGGACAATGCCTTTACACTTTACTATGTAAAGTTTAGAGCAGCTGCACCTAAAGTTAGAGTGAGTACTTTTTTTATTTTTTATGACCAACTGAATTTATGCAGCACATCATTTTCTGTAATAAAACTACATTTTCATTGACATTTTTTTTTTTTTTTCAGTCACTGATTGAACAGATAGAACAACGAGCAGAGAAGATACCTGAGTGAGTATTGGCATTTCTCCTGAGTAAAGCAGCAGCATTAGCACTCCTGCTCTATTTTTTTATTTTTTTATTTATTTATTTATTTTTCTGCAGTTCTTGTGCCAAATTAACTCATCTCGCCTTATATTGATGTGGGCAGATACCATCAGCTCCTAGATGAAGTCCACCAGTGTTACCTTGAGCAGAGAGAGCAGCTCCTCAGTCCCAGCATCGCATCCACCATTACTGACCTCACCAACCAGAACAGCAAAGACCACTGTGCTCTGGTAAGGCATGACTAGTTCAAAGCAGGAACTGCCCTTTTAGATATTGTAAAATGACATTTGAGTTTGCAAAGAATGCCCAGTATGGACCCTCTGGGAAATTTACTGGAGTGTTTGGTGCAGGCACAAAGCTCCGCACATGATAAATGAGCATAACACTGACACTAACACTGTACACAGCAGGCATCCAGAGCTTACTGCGGTGAATTGCTGTGTAGAGGCTTGGTGTTGTTAGTGCACCCTCAGTCATACCTCATCTGTAAAGCTGGGAGTTATTGTGCTGCGTTACTCCTGTGTCAGAAAATTTAAGTGACCTAATTAACGGTAAAATGGTTATTCTGATGTGATACTTCAGACAAACCAGGTCAGATTTTGGCACCTTGACGGACTATGTCTCTTGACGCTGTTGTGGCATTTAAAACACTTTACTAATTGGCTTGATGGGGATGCTATAATTAAAGGTCAGAATTTCATGCAATGAAACGTCAAAACAGCCACACTACCTGTCTGACTTTTTTTTTTTTTTTTTTTTTTTTTTTTTTAATAAATGAAACTTGAAAGGTTATGCATCTTGTTGATTGCTGTAATAGGTGCCTGCATCATTTATGTTAGAGGATGTGTTTTGCTTGTTTGAAGTGGAGGCAAAGCATTTGTAGGCACTGCGGTGGGTGATCATGTGTTTATTTGTACAGGTTCGCAGTGGCTGTGCCTTTATGGTTCACGTTTGCCAGGATGAACACCAGCTGTACAATGAGTTCTTCTCTAAACCTACACCCAAACTAGAGTGAGTAGCACCTGCCTCATTGGTAACAGGATCACTGAGCACACACACAGAGAGCTATTGTCTTGTATGTATTTGCTTAAGGTGTGCCACTTTAAAATATATGATGGCTATTTCAGCTTGATATGCTTAGTGTTTGGAAAAACAGATTTACACAGTATGGGTAGAACATTTTTATTATTGAAGGGTAAAAAAATTTTGTGTATTTTGTCGTTACTTTATCCCTTAAGTTGAAGGAACCTGTAACTGTAGTTTTTAGCCTTTCTTGAGCTGTACAGAACAATGAAAAGCCTTTTTAATCTCTCAACAGCGAGCTGCTAGAGAAGTTATGTTTGTCCCTGTATGATGTCCTCCGGCCTTTAATCATCCACATCATCCACCTGGAAACTCTGTCTGAGCTCTGCAGCATTCTCAAGAATGAGATGCTTGAAGACCATGTTCATAACAATGGTAGGTTACAGATTTTGTTCTCCTGAAAGCTTCTCATATGTCACATGGAGTGTTTAGAACTGAGTCACCAGGATGCAGCTGTGCTGGAGTTGTTGGGACTTGCCATAGTACATGTATAAGTTTGGATAACCTTTTCAGTTTTTGTGCTTTGTTGTGCTACAAAATCTTTCAAAGGAAATCAATGTGAGCTTTTTCCCTGAATTTGACTTTTATTTACAACAGTAAAGAAAGAAGAGAAATATTCTCCAAATTTAATGAGCTACTAGTAAAAGAAAAATAAAATACTCAAAAGGATATCCCTTGTGTCTTCAGTGGCTAATTTTGCCAAGTGAGAAATACTGAATTTAATGAAATTTTAGCTGCAGACTTTCGGCATAAATGACCAATTACCGTTCAAAGTTGTGCCTTTATTTGCCAACAAAAACAGAAAACATGACTTTTCTACACCTGGGACAATGTGGACTGGTTCCCTCATAAATAACTTTGGTCACGGATCTAGTTTTAAAGAAAAAGCATCTTGTCATGGTCCTTAAGATAATCCAAAATTACAAACAGGGTATTGAAGTTTACTTTAGTGGGGGACAAACAAGGGAACATGATAGCTGTTCTTTTAAACTTGAGGACTAGGATGTTTTCATGGTACAATACTTTTTTTTTTAATTCAGTTCTCATTCACCTGTTCCGATTTCCCATAATAAGCCCACCACATCCTACATCACAAATATACAAGTTTATACTTTAGACCCTACAGGAATTGTACTTTTTTTTTAATCTATTCCACAACAAAGTGTTGGCATAGAAAGCAAAGCTTGAACTGAAAGATGACCTGTAAATTGACCTCTGTTTGCCTTTCTGCAGCTGCTCAGCTGGGGGCTTTTGATGCAGTTGTGAAGCAGATGCTGGAGGATGTCCAGGAGAGGCTGGTCTACAGGACCCACATTTACATACAGACTGATATCACAGGCTACAACCCAGCTCCAGGGGATCTGGCCTATCCTGAGAAATTGGAGATGATGGAGGTAGGTCTCGTATGCTCAAAGCGATATCAGCTCTCCTTGATGTCTTCAGAAACAAAACACCCAGCAGTTGTTGTCCCTTCAGCTTTTACTCAAACAGCTTTACAACACATGAAATCTGGTATTTTCATAATTTGTTTAATGCATTGATTATTTATTTATTGATCAATTGTTTAGTTTAGTGCTGACCGATTTAATCTTATTTTCTTTGATTTCATTCATCGCGATATGAACATGTGCAATAAACACATTGCAAAAGACTGACTGAAATGCGATGAAAAATCTTTTTTTTTTTTTTAATTTATTTATTTTAATTTTTTTATTAATATACATGCATGCATGCAGGGTTTTCAAGGCGCAGCGCCTGAGCCAAATGAACTGGAAAAAACCTACAGCGTTTTGGTGTCGGGCTGCAGCCACACACACACACACACACACACACACACACACACACACACAGCAGACAGTACAGAGGTGGTGGGGGAGACCAGTGATGAGTGAACTTTTTACTGGAGCTGACAACAACCACAGTTGTGGCTCTGAGTGTCATCACAACCTTTTCGAGTATTAAAAAGAGAAACAATTGGCGTCCTTCATCACTCCATCACACCTGTTCAACAAGATTTAAACATGTACAAAAGACACATTTTCAACCTCTCCATCCACCATGGTTTGTTTTACATGAGTGCAGCGCACTAAAGTTACGCTAAGAGTGAACAAGTTAAGTGTGTGTAGACTGCAGCTTCATTTGCCGTAAACTTAAAACTACAGCCCCCCTCCCATTCAATTTAATATTACAAATAAGTAACTACATTAAAGGGAAAATAAGTCAAATATTGTCTTGACATTTGCAAAGTCATGAGCAATTGGCAATAATTCTAATGATCGTTGATCACCGATACCATCGTCCATGGGCACAACCCTAGTGTGAACGCACCCGAGATGCATTGAGGATGCATTTGAGATCTGATCGCTCAGACCACATTCAGAGGTGGTCTAGGCCACATGTGTCCACATTCTTTTAGCAGTGTGAACGCAAATGTGTCCTGGGCCACATTGAAGGGCCGTCTACTCCACTGACATCCTTTGAAACAGTCTGATTAGTCCCGCCACAGTTTCATAGGCCCTGTTCAGACCCGGTATTAATATCCGTCTCGGGTGATCCGATCACAGGTGGTCAGCTCTGTTCGTCAGTTCACACCTGGCTTTAAATGCGTCTCCACATGCGTCTTGATTGACCACTTGTGATCGGCTCTCACTTTACCCGCTTTATATGCAAATTAACAGGTATGCATTGTTATTTTTAGCCTGTCGACAGACGGGTCAGGTACTGGAAAGATGGCGATGACGGAACAGCCCACTCTGAGTTTCAAAACTGCTCTTCAGAAATCTATGGGTGACATCGCAGAGGCTATGTCCATCTTTATTTACGGTCTTCTCTGTGTGTGTGAGCAAGCGAAGGAGTGATATAGAGAGCAAGTAGGGCACGGAGGGGTTATTTGCATATAAAGCAGGGAAGTGAAAGCCGATCATAAGTGGTCAATCAAGACGCATGTGGAGACGCAAGTCAGGTGTGAACTGACGAAGTAAGAGCTGACCACTTGTGATTGGATCACTGAAGACGCATGTTAATAGCTAATCATATGTTAAGAAATATTTGGTTGCGTAATAGTTTTCAAAGTGCTTGTTATGCCTGACCAACACTGAAAATAGAGCAGAAAACAACAAATCCTCACATTGTAGAAGCCACAAATTGATTGATCTGCTTTTCTGCTGAATAAATAACTTCATCGATTTTCAAAAATTAGTTGATTAATTCTTTGTCCGTCTAGCGTTGATAGCTGTCACATCCTATTATTGTTAGTTTCTTTAGCTGATTAATGTTGCAAAGGAAAAGTAAACATGAAATGCTTTTTTGTCCAGCATTTGAGTCAATATTTGTAGTCTTGCGGACTGTCTACAGGCCCTTTTTTTTTTTTTTAAAAGTCTTAATGTGTTAATTAGAATAATGTAAAAGTACGGGTTTTGAAGGTCTTTGGGTGTGCACATGTTTTTGAATATGCCTCCGAGTCTCGACTGATGTTTAAAATCTCTGAAATGTGCTGCATGTAAACTATTCTCAATATCAAATCTACCTGATAGTGCAGGTGTAAGCTCTGATGTTTCTTTAGATGTTTATCTGTCTTTTTGTCTGTCATCAAACTTTGTTTTTGCAAGTTTAATTAAATGTTACGTTTGTCCTTTATGTTAAACCAGTGTCTTTCCAACATTTATAACTTTCTATCTATAGCTGCTTGAAAGGTCTTTTTGTTTGAAGTTGAATTATGCAAATTTAAGGAATTGGAAGGTGTTATATTGTGAATGTCTTGACATGTTAAATATACCTTTTTGAGTCTTAACTCATATTTGACAGCTCTTAAATGTGCTACAAATACGCTATTTTATTTTTTTTTATTTAATTGTGATTCATTTGATATTTCTTTAGATGTTTATCTCCCATTCTGTCTGTCTACAGACTCATTCTGAGAGTTGAATTGTATTTTCTGTTAATTCATGAATTACTTTACCTGAAGGCGTCTTACTAAAGCAAAATGGAAAAACAGACTTTTCGGCATCTAACACTTAATGTCTACCAACTCTTGCCTTTGCTTTCTTGTCGTCAGAGAATTGCTCAGAGCTTGAAGGAAGAGCAGATGAAGCAGATGTCACAAGAGTCAATGTTTTCTGATGTACAGCTTGAGGATCCTGATGGTAGAAGAAACAGTAATGCTGGTCTGTGTTTCCAGATTGTGACACTTGCTTACTTTTTGCAACTCTTGGTGGTGTTGTCATTTGCCTTATGGCTTTTCCTCCTTTTGTACAATGAATGCAGGGAATGTTGAAGCTTCACGCCTACAGACATCTATCTCTCCCGCTGATCTGCACGGCATGTGGTACCCTACTGTCAGACGAACACTGGTTTGCCTGTCCAAGCTCTACAGATGTATAGATGTAAGTCTTCAATTTCTATTAATCGCTAATTTAGTTTTGTATCAGAAAACAAAGCAGGGTGTATATTCTTTCCACTTTTGCATTTCTTATTCATGTGTTTCTTTCTGTGACTTGGTCTTTTTCCAGAGAGCAGTCTTCCAGGGTTTATCTCAAGAAGCCTTATCTGCCTGCATCCAGTCCCTTCTTAAAGCGTCTGATATCATCCTTAAAAACAAGGTTGGCACAAATGATCAAGAGTAGAGTGTGTATATATATATTTTTTTGTATTTTTACTGAACTTTTCGGATTTTATTATGATCAAAATAGCTGGATACGTACCTTTCTTTTTACATAGTAAATAAGATCAATTCCCTCTTAGATAAAATGTGTACTGTTTTATTCAAATTCCTTCAGGCTGCAGGATCCTTAACTAAACCAACTGGGATGTCATTTAAAGTTTATTTTAATAGGTGCTTTATTATGCCCTACAGAGTGTTCAGCAGACCATCCTTTATTTATGGGCTTCTCTCGCCTTCAAATTTGCTGTCAATATCTGTGCTAACTGGCGCGTTTCAACCTAACACTTCAAATTAAAGCAGCAGCATCAATCTCAGAGGATATGTTACCACCCCATGTTGATGATGTCTTTTTCCAATGTTTTAGTCGCTAGCTGAGCAATAAATGGTTTCAGCAGCCTTTTTTTTTTTTTTTTTTGGTCACAGTAATATGTCCCTTACCAGCTATGGATAATCAGCAGTTATTAATTAGACCTATTCTCTTATCATCTCTGAGCCTGTGCTTTTATATGTTCTCTGTAGCTCGGATAGTCAGCAGATGCCCTTTTTGTTTTGGCAGCCTGCAGTGTGGATTTAACAGTGTGCTATCACTTTCTGTAGACACAAATAGATGGGCAACTTTTCCTGATCAAGCACCTGCTGATAATGCGTGAACAGATTGCCCCATTTCACACCGACTTTGCCATCAAGGAAATCTCACTGGACCTGAAGAAAACGCGAGGTAAGATAATTAGAGGTGGAGGGAACATTGGTGTTCAGCTCCACAAAGCCAGTCATTACATTCTCATGCTCATTAAGCAACTTGTGCCTATAACATGCACCAGTGGCAACAATTAATGTGGAAATTACAGTGTAATCCAACACCATAATGTACATTAACCGACGGCTCACAGGGCAGATTCTCCTCCTATCACCCTTGTCTCAGTCAAGGTCATATTAAATTTGGAGCACTAGAGGGCACTCTAATTCTACATCAGCCCAGATTTAATCTCTCTGCTTTGTGTTAAGATGCTGCCTTCAAAATCCTGAACCCTAAGGCTGTTCCCAAATTCTTCCGACTCAACAGTCACAACGCCATACTTGAATTCCTGTTGGAGGTAGGGTATTTTTTTTTTTTTTTTTTTATAAATATACAAACAGACCATACACTTTATATACTTTGATAGCACCCTGCCTAAGGGAAATGCCACTTGATATTGCCAAACCCCTTTTCTCTCTGGCCCTCAGGGAACACCAGAGATAAAGGAGCACTACATTGACTCTAAGAAGGATGTGGACCGGCACCTGAAGTTCAGCTGTGAGCAGTTCATCCAGCAGCAGACTCAGATCTTTGTGGGGAACCTTGAGGAGTTTCTCACTAAGGTAACTGTTAGAATGAAGGCAGACTTGGCCACAGGCAGTGACGGCTCATTCTGACTTTTGTTTTTTCAGCTTTTACCTTTTTTTTTTTTTTATAAACCTAAAAAGTCATTTGCTTATTTACTGATCAATGAAGGTGTCAGTGTTTTACTGAAGGTAATATAGCTGTGTCATCTGGAATATCTACTTCTGTTGCTAGGTGTTAGTGTCTGTGTATGTGCGTGTGTTTTTGTCTATATTGTTCTGGGTTGTTTGTGTGTAGTAATTCTGCTGAAAGAATTTGTCTTCTGTCTTTATTTTTACCCTCCACACTCAGTTTTCTGTCACTGGTTATGTCAGTACTACTCTTTGTGTAATATAAGAATGAAGTGAATTGGCTCAAGTGGCAACACAGCCTCTTGTGCTTCTTCGCAGTAAACAACCACAAATGAAGTCTTCTCAAATTGTAACATTGTGTTTTGACTGCGTCGGCACTCAGGTTGCAGCTCTTAAAACTATGGCTATTCAAGGTGGTCCTACCTACAGCCTGTCTCAGCAGCCTTGGGCACAGCCAGGTAAGATTTGTCTCAGGAAACGCCATGAGCATCACACTGTAATTCATCATAACTTGTATAGTGCATGCTAGAGGCCAATATTTTTTCTTTTTTTTTTTTTCTTCTTTAACGTGGTACTGTTTTGGGTTTTTTTTTTTTTTCTTCCTCTTTTCAGCAAAGATCAACGATATAGTGATGGCTACCTACCGTGTGATGAAGAGCAAGCTGCCAAGCACTTTACAGAGCATGTCCTTGTACCTAGCCAATAGAGACACAGAGTTCATCCTTTTCAAGCCTGTCCGGGTAGGTGGCAGAAACGCTAGGGTGTAACATGTACTGCAGGAGTCAGTTTCTTTGCAAGTCATTGTTAAAGCTCAAAGAATCCTTTTTCATACAGTATTTTCAAAGCGGGTATGCTAAAATAATATGAATTAGAAGTTATTCACATGTATCAGTATCACTGAAGAGCTTTACGCCATAGATAGTAAAGCATTTTTATGTTTCTCCTTATAGACATTGAAATGATTGATTTATTATAGTGGGGTGTTTGCTGATGTTTCCATGTAAACAAACCTTGCAGCATCAGAAATCATTCATGACATACATTTGTTCATTAGTGAGAGTTAAGTCTCTGTAGTAAAAGGCCTGTCAATCAGTTTTGGAAAAATATAGATAACAATTCTATGTTTGTATTCCCCTCTTAGGGTAAAGCTCTTGTTTAAAATTGGCTCAGAGATTCTGCCTTTAGCTACAAATTTGTCAGTGTGATTGAACTCTAATAGAAAAATTTTAGTCCTGCATGTGTAGTGTTCATCAAGGTGCCAGGTGAAGCTGAATGAGAGAGAGAGAAACAAAATTCGCTGTTGAAATGACAACAAAAAAAGCAAAGGGACTTAGGCCAAATGGAAATGTAGTATTAATTTCCCTCCAGCACTCAGTAATAGAATGCTTTTCCCACAGAATAACATCCAGCAGGTATTCCAAAGACTGCTCGCCTTGCTTCAGGAGGAATACAGTGGAGAGGACCTTCAAATCATTGCATGTCCGTCTATGGAGCAGGTACAGTACTGTAGGATTAGCATAGCCCAAAAGCACCTGACATAGTTTCAATAACCCTGCTGCAAGATCCAAAACTGCTGAGACCAACCTTAGTGGAGAAACATTAGATAATGTATGCCAGCTAAGTCTCAGTGAGCACTCATCCTGTTTCACGCCTCTCTTTCAGATTAATCTACTGCTGTCTGTGAATAAGTAATGCCCAGGTTCGATGTGGCGATGCTGGCGAACACCCTCTGGATAGCAATGGGGATGCTCCAACTCCAGCCACGATCAGGGAACTGCACCTTAGCTGCAAGCTGGAACAGGAACGCTAGACTGACAGCAAAAAAAAAAAAAAAAAAAAAATCCTGCACAAGGCCAAAGATTCTCAGACAAAGGCTCGAGCAGCTACAACTATGAAGAGGTTCAGGTATTCATCTTGAAATATGAAACACACTGGGAAGTGGAGGGTGTTATTTTTGGTACTGAGCTGATTATCTTGTTTGACTAAAATTAAAGGCATTGTGGTCAGGGTTGTTTTCATGTAGGGTGGGTTTAGATCAGTTGCATCTCTCAACACCAAATCGTTAATGAACAGAATTTGCACACTATGTGAGGGTGGGAGGGGGCAAATTATCTAAGTGTGTTCAGACAAGGACACTTTGGTTGGGCAAAAAAGGCACTAAAGGGTTTCTCATTAGCCAGGTAGCTAATGGCCAGTGAGGGGGCTTGCATTGTGATGCTTAGATTCCCTTGTTGGCTTTGGAAGGATAAGAAGAGACAAAATGCTGCAAAATATTTTATTCATTTATTTTAAATCGTAACAGTCTTTGTAACACAGTCAATACAACTCTATGATGACCTGAAGTGCTGCAGGATGCTCAGGTCCAACAGGTTTCCCCCCTCTGATCATAGCAAAAATCCCCACAGCTGTTCTATCTCTGCCAGTTGTTTTCTTAAAGATTCTCCCATCTTCTTCTTGTGAATGTTTTTGTTATTCTCTTGCAAATATGTAAAAAAGACAACAAAATCTTATGTTTTATACTTTTTTTTCCTTTTTATAACTAGGTTGATTAAAACTAATGTGCTTTTACTCTGGCAAAATAATGGACCGTTGACCTTGGCAATTTTGCACTGTATATGATTTAAGGGTATCTTTCCTAGAGGTCCTCACAGAATAACAAAGGTAACAGGACACCGTCATGTAACATTTGCTTTGGTGTGTCCCATGTAAAATGGTCTGTACAGTTAAACTATTTATGAACATTCTGATTAAAAAAAAAAAAAAAAAAAAAAAAAAAACAAAAAACAAAGATGAATCATCTTTGGTTTTATTTCTAAAAAGCACTTTGTCATTGAATTCAAATACAGGGAGCATTAGGAGTCATTTCACATAAATGAGAAACTGCCATTCAAGGACATCATCAGCTTTAGGGGGTCTTCTTGGCAGACTGTTGCTGTTTCATTGGCAGCCGCCGTCTTTCCATCTGTGAGATGAGGCTTTGCTGGGGCTTGACCTTCTGTGGACTGACAGTCTTTTGATAGGTGATGAGGGACTGGATGTTCTGGAGCAGGACATTGATCTCTGCACTCTTCTGCTGCAGATACCTCTGAAGCATGTCAGGCCCTGGCAGCGTTAGACCTTTGCCTTGATTTAGCTGTGACAGCAAGGAAATATAAAGTAAAGCAGAATCAATGATTTGGCCTTAAACTGGATCTCCCTCCTCATTTCTTTTATATTTGTGCTATTACCAAGCCACATTAACTTACTTTCACTTTTGCCCCGACATTAAGATGTGAACTGTGATTGCCAGATGTGAAAGTGATGCAGATTTGCTCTTGGGATTTGATGCGGATATTGAGGTTGGGGCTCAGTGTCAGGCAGAGGGGCTGGTAGGGCGGAGCGTGAACATGATGCTTATTGTCCAGCCAGCTCCACTGTTTCTTCAAATCTCCTGTGTCACTGCAGTAGGTGCCTCCCCACAGAGTCAGATTCACCCTAATAAAGAGAAGCAGCATGTGAACAATAAGCCCCTCAGGGCTTTTTATTGTCTCAGACCGTTTCTGTCTGCCGCCAATTATATCAATAATTAAAATAACTAAACTTTAAATGCTTCTAGAGAGAGCTAGAGATGATAAAATAGATTTTAATTACAAAATAATATGCTGATTTTATGTCGGTTACGTTTACACTACAAAATAAAATATTAGGAAGGATTAAACAGCCAATCATACCAAATGCAGCCATTGTTGTGATAACAGGTAGCCTGTCCTGTGGTCGTGAAAACTGCATGAATGCGAGGCTGCTGTTTGTCTTCCAAGACCACCACACAAGACCAGTCAGCTGATTGGGCAGCAGTTACAAGAATAGCAAGCCTTCCTGATGGATAGCTTTTTAAACATGATTAAGGTGAATGATCAGACATTAAGTATTTATGGTATGTCAGTAAAATGCCAGTTAGATTCACCTGAAAGGATACTACACCTGGCCAGTTCCATCTGGGAAAATCACATGAAATGTTTGACCACTGTTGTAGTGTTTGAAAAGCGGTGGCGTCCTCTGTTGAACCAAGCACATTTATTAATGGATGTAGGCTTGTACAGTAAATTTTCAGCTGTAGTCAAGATTGCACATTGTACAACCTTGACTGTGAAAACCATTTGTGATTTGTAAAAAAAAAAAAACCTTCAGTCCAGTACTTTCTCCATTGAAGAACATGTTTTCAGAATCCATGATTTCTGTTTCAGGGGATGAAGCTTCCTTCTTGGCTGTCCAAACATCATCTGAGAGTCCATCATGTAGGGTGGCATACAGTTGTCCTGTAATGTATTTAAAGGTGTCATGACATGGCTGGAACAAAGGGAGGGATAAGCACATACAGTATAATCTGCATGGAATATCAGTCGGTGGTAGAGGGTGTGTGTAACCTGCTTTAGTGATCTGATGATCTGAGATCTTTTCTGATTCCAAACCTTTCAACCTGCGGTGAGATTCAGTGGCATAGAAATTGTAATTTGAAAATCATTTAATGGTGGAAGCCAGTGATGGACAAGAGCAATCCTGACCTTTGATCTTTTTTCACCGCTGGGTCCCTGTCAGTCACGCTTTCTTTGGAGGAAACCTCTGTGCCTTTCCATGCCTTCTCACAGCAGAAAAACCCACAGAGAGGGGGGAAAAAAAGTCTAGTCAAAATGTAGGAATTATACATAATTATGAATTCAGATTTTAGGCAAAATTTCAGTTTATTATATATTCATAATTTCTAAATGTTACTGATCTGCCATGGAAGTAAATAATTGCCTTACAGTAAAAATGTTGAGTTTTGCAAAGATTTCATTAGAGTTCATTCATTCATTACATAATAATCATGTATCATTCAAATTCAATGAGCTCAACCCTCATGTATGAAGCTATGTGATGCAAAATGATTTGGTGACAATGCTAACATTTGCTAATTAGCGCAACACATAATGTGCAGCTGATGCACATGCCATTGATTTTGCTGGCATTTGGTTATAAACCAAAATATAGGACAAATTAACATTTCTTTTTACCTGCTCAGAGGGAAGTGGGGACATCAAAGTCATTAGGATTTGTCTACTCTGCACAAATTTAATGGCAAGCCATCCAGTCGTTGTTGAGCTATTTTACTCTGAGCCACAAATGTCAACCTCATGGTGGCATTAAAGGAAAAGTCAAGAGTCGATCGGGTTCATCCTCTGGGGACCATGAATGTCTGTTCAGTCAGGGCCGAAGTACCAACACTGCTGTGCCCTGAGCCTCACTGCTACTGTGACTAAAATTGCACCTCTTGAAATTATTACCTGGAAATGTCAGACAGGGAAATTTAAACCACCTGAATTCAGCTAGATGGTCTTTGTTGTAAAATATTTAAATGCTATAAATTCAGTGGCATTTCAATTTCCATATTAAGTATCCAGTAGTGGTTATATTTCAAATTTCTTCTTATATGCTTCAAATTATTATGCCTATTATTTCCTTTCATAATCACCCCAGCTCCAAGCTGCACACAGACACTGAGAATTAACAAAATCAGCTCAGTTTTCATTTAACCTGAGCATGTCACCATATTAACTGCACTTTAACATTATAGGAATAGACAATTTTGGTTTATTTTTGCTTTAAATTCTTTAAAAAAGAAATACTAAGGTGAGGGCCGGGTATTAAACACCGTGTTTGGCATATTTTAAAACGAGCAGCAGCAGTGACTAGCAAGTTTTGATATGACACAAACGTAGACTAATTGCATACTCCGTTAATATATTTGTATTCATACTAGAGGAGGAAAAGGAGCAGTTTAAAAGTGGCATTTTCCTCCGTACCTTGTCCTGATTAGTTAAAGACTCGTCAGTTTCTCCTTGGCAGGCTGCGGGAGTTTGGGGAGTTTCCTTGCTGAGCGAATCCAACACTTCATTATCTAGGGATATCTCCAAGTCAGACTTCATGTTTTTAGGAACGCTCTGAGGAGGAAAAAAAACAAAGACACTTCATAATTTATTAAATTCTTTGAGGTCTTTAGCTTGTGCTTCATGAATAAATCAGAACCTTGGAACTTCATGTCTCTGGATACCATGTCATATCATCTTTCACATGATAAAACTTACATTGTGACAAGGATAGACAAGGCAATGAAAACTCACATTCAGTATTTCGTTGGCTATAGTAAAATGATCTCTAAAACACAAAATGACCTCATGCACAGTATTTTAATTGCATCAATTCTCTGTTTGTCTAAGGTCTTGCTACAAAGTGCATTTCAAATGTTATTTTATTAACATAAAATAACCAGTTCAGGGAATCCTCTCCTGCTCTTAGTGTCTGTTTTACTTTGTCAAGGACGTTTCATCACTCCAATTCAGAAACTAAAATACCTCATTATGAGTTGTTTGTTGTAAACCTTCTCCATCATATACACCCCGACTCAACACACTCCTCTCCTCAGAAGTCGATCCCAAATTCTTGTGAGAAGCTTTTGGCGTTTCTTGGTTTGGGTATTTATAGTCTGCAAATGGAAATAATGATGATATTAATTATCTCAGGCATTCGAAATCGTTTACCAGTCAAGGTCAGAGATTCGTTATTAGCAGGAAATGTGAAGAATCTACCTTGACTGCACTCCTCCTCATGTCTCCAGTCAGTCTGCGTACCAACGCTGACTCTGGTGATGACCCTCCCGTCAAACGCATGGATCGTCAGGTATTCTCGTGAGCTCACACTGGAACCAATTCCTCATTATCAGCTTAGTAAGTCCAGACATGCACAGGGGGTGGATGCAGTAACTCAAGCACCTGAGCAATAATGCAGGTTGTATTGCGTTATTGTACAGGGGCTTCAGTTAATGCAAACT